CCTCTAATGCTCCCTTCTTCTAGGGAAGTCACTTCAGAAGAGAGAGGTTCCAACATCAAAGTTCAGTGCGTGCCACTTCTAAGAACCAAAAATCAAACTGCTAAATCATCTTGTATGTTCAGAACCTATTTAAATCCGAATCAGGTACCATGTTGTCCCAGTTGCAGATGACCACATTGTAAGAAAGCAGCTGGTTTGTATTTTGTCAGGGCACCACCTGAACTATACACAGAGTAGAAAGCAGGTAGAACAAAGAACAGTCACGCAAGGTTAGGCAAACAAAAATAGGACACACCTACAATGTCTACTAATAGTTGGCACTCACATGCCTCTCCAGAATATATTTCACATCTATTGACACAAAGGTAAAACTCCATTACACATCACCCTTATGCCCTGATTTCACATTTGGCATCAACAGTATGAATATCAAATGCTCTGACTTTGATATATTTCAGACTGAATACATAGCTTTATTTTAAGGGGACTGACTGAATTTGATACTTCCTTATTCAATGCCATGACATTATCCACTATGACACTGAATTCTGGAAATCATTTTATAGCGCTTAATCCCACAAACATGGAGGAAATCTTTGGTAACTATCTTCCACTTTCTTAGCAATATTCTGAATAAATTTCAGTTTTACACCCTTTCTCTGGTAATTGCAAAGCCACACAGTGAAAGAGAAAGAGAACGTGCATCTCCTTTTGTGAATCCGAGGAACATTTGAAATGTGACACCATAATATTGACCATCTTTCTTACAGATATTATTAGATACAACAAACTCATTAATACATACAATAAATAAAGACCCTTGTTTAATAGTTTCTGTGCATAAATACAAATTTTTTTTGCTTATTTTCAAGAGCAGAAATATTTGCTTCAAAGAATACAGCGACAAAAGACATGTGAAGAACCAAATATTCTATAACACATTTTAATAAATTCAGTTTCTCTCAAGTATTTCTATAAACAACACTTCTTATAAACCTCAACTAACACAGTTTATGGTGCAAGCCCGACATCTAAGGCTGAGTGCAGCAATGCAGGTGTTACTGAGGCAGTTCTGACCAGGTGAGGCACAAAACAGACTGTGAAGCTGGCGCATCCCTTCAGTTCACCTCTTTGCTCACTAAAGCTCATCAGCTGACGCAAAATGAAACAAGATGGACCTGGAGCAAACTTCAAACTTACTTTGAGCAAACTTCTATTACTCAAATCCACAGAGACAAGTATGACTAAATGTCATTAATATATATAAATAAGTAAAAAGATCAAGTACCTTGGATTAATTTTTATGAAGTGCTCCTTAGTTACTAGAGGTACACCATAAGAGCAAAGCCTCACTTCTAAGACAGCTAAATCAGCATAATGCCCACCACACACACACAGAGATTCTGATCAAGTCCTGAATTCATGCTAACACCCAACAAAATGGAATTTGTCCCTGATTTAGGTAGTTATGCTTTTGTACACTATCAAAGTTTGTAATTTTCTTAAACAAAAACCAAAAACACCAAAGAAGATAAGTCACTTCTTACTTCTTTGCTAACAAAAATATACTGTGACTACTTAACATTTTACAAATATATCCCTAATTTAAGTAATTCACCAGAGATCAAATACACTTGTGAAATCTATTGTGCAGCTGAATAAGCCTATCTCATCTCTCCTAAGTCAACTCACATCTGTCTCAGTTATAATTACTGTATTAAATTCAGAGACAGCTGTCTAACACTTAAACTACCTTTAAAAATTTATGAGGATCACATATTATTCATGCTTGCAAAATAAGGGCATAAATTTTTTCTTGAAATCATAGTAATTAAATGTCATTCTAAGATGCTGTACCAAACAGTATTATAATTTCTCCCAGGTTCTACAGGACTTGAAGCATGCTGCTATAAACTCAAATTAGCCACATACATCTGTATTAATATCCATTGTGTCTTCCCTGCTCACTTTGAAGACAGATTTTGACTACAGACTCTAAAACTGTTAGGAATCTGCCAGATAAGGGACCATGTCTGACATCTTTTGAGTCTTGTTTGATCAGGTCTAATATAGTTTTTCCATCTCTGTCTCTCCATTCAATTTTTCCATTACTAACTACTTATCCCTCCACACATACCCTTTTTTTCCTTTCTTTTTTTCCTTTTTTTCCCCTCTTTTTTTCTTTAAAAATTTTTTTTAAACATTAAGAGTCAGTTCATAACCAAAGCAACCAGTAAGTAATCCAGTAATCATCACTAGACTTAGTAACCTCTGGTCAGAGGACTAATTTGCTGAAAGGAAAGCCTCTTTCTTCCAGAGCTCAAAACAGCACACAATCGGAAGGCTGAGGGGTGCCCTCATGGC